GGGGCACACCTCTGCTCTGTCCTACATGGGCACTATCCGTTGGAATTGATGGTCATTTTCTAGAGAATGAACACACTGAACCACCACTCCAAAGGGAAATACAAACTTCTGCTCATATTTTGAATGGCCTGTACACAACCTTGCTTTGCATATGTTTCCATAGTCTATTTTTACTGATTCATTAACACTGAACTCATAGTCAATAGCACTATAATTTATGCCTGAACAAAGCATATTTAATGCATGTCTTTTTCTCTTGAAGGCACACTACAGTCTTTTGGACTTAAGAATATTAGGCAGCACAAGACTAAAATCATCAACAAAAAGTGGGGGAAAAAATATTGATAAGGACACTTGTTTTCAGCATGAGAGCTGAAAGAAGGCAGATCCACGTCTCTTCTGGGAACGTGTATGGCTGATACTGCACTTGTCTGTGAATGACCATGACAGCACTGTAAGTATTGAGCTGGGGCTGCAAAAAAAGTTAGCATGTAGGCAAATTCACAAAAACAGAATCTGTGAAAAATGAGTATGTTTTTTTATATATCCAGGCCTCAAAGTAACAATTCCTACCCATCAATCTATTTATAAACACAAACAACTCGAGTAGTTTACTACTATTTTCAGTAAGACAGACCAATAAAATTTCCTGACACAACAAATGTTAGTTTTACGAGTTATTTATTTAAACCCCACAAACATTATGTTTGAATATATGAATCACTTACCCATTCTTCTCTCCAAAATGACTCTGGAGCTGGGATTCGGTGAACTGGGTCAGTTCACCCATATATTCTACTCCCAGGATTTCAGTGACAGAAGCACCTAGCTTTCCCCCAAGACTACGGCTGATAAAAAAAAAAAGAAACAAATTTGTAGTTCACATCATAAATATCTGGCTAGCATAAGCATTCTGCTTCTCTAACTAGATCTCTAAAAGGTTCAAGAAAAACTGACACATAGTACTAGTCTTAATTTGCTAGTGTAAGCCAAGTCTTAATTTGCTAGTGTAAGTCAAATGATTCTTCGGGAATTAGAACCCAGCAATATTAACAATGACATAAACAAAATGTCGTTGATTAGCTATCAAGTTAGCTTTTAATTGTACAGGATCTATTGCCCTATTTGGAGATTGCAATCCCAATTTCAAAACAAAATTCTTCACAGACTAAAACCTACACAGTTAAGAATATGTTTAAAATTCTTAGCCTGGCTCTCAAAGGTCTACATAATTTATCCTTCCCCAACCTATCTTTTCAGTCCTATTTCTAATATAGTCTAGCTAAACTTGTTTATTGCCAACCATGTGTTAGTATGTCATACTATAGTGGCTTCTGTATAGCTACGATGCTGGAAATGCAGCCACCAGTATTTCAGTATTAGCTGGGTTCCAGGCTAAGATAGGCTAGGAAGAAAGACTTGGCAATCTATCTCTCAGAATTAGCCAATTAAATCTCTCCAGATCACAAGAGAACATAATAGAGCACTGGAAAATAACTCATAGTGGCCCTAACAGCAGGCTCAAGGAAACCAATGATCATGGAGGCAGGAAAGCCTTGTTTGGTCCTGGTGTAAAGTAGGCCTATTGTGGGTAGGAGTCAACTCAACAATACCAACAGTAAACTGGTTTACCCTGCACTTCCCAGGAAACACCTTGTACTTTTCTTCTCTGTGCTCAAGACATTAAGCCAGTACCACATCCTGTTGTCTCATTCTCCAAATTCTGCCAAACCTCAAAATAAAAGTCCAGCAACGATGAAATAATTTATTTTTTCAAAGAGAAAAGTGAACTGGGGGGTGCGTAGGTAGGAAAATGTGCAACAATGAATGAATAAATGGAAATTCAAATGCTCTGTAAACTTTTGTAAAAATCTAAGAAAAAATTAACAAACAACAACACAAAACTGTATGCCTTCCTTTTTCATAAATCCTTTTAAAATTATTCTTGTTTTATGAATTTTGGCAAGGTCTAGTGGCCTAACCCATAACAAGTTGCTCTTCTAATGCAAAAGATGCACCTCATTGGCAGTTTGAGCCCACCAACCACTCCTGGGGAGAAAGACATGGAATCTCCCACAGGATTACAGACTTGACAATGAGCTTGTGTTCTGAATTTTGATAACTGCCTGCACAATTTATTTATGTAGCCTTGTGCTAACATTTCCCTTGTTATTTTGAACTGTTATGTCTTGTCTCTTCAATAATAAGGCCTTGTCAAGATAACATAATTTGTAGGGCCAACCTTGCTATTTACTTGGTTTGGCTTCTTTTCTCATGCCTATAATGTGGGAAATTCAGCAGTCCTAGTATCATTCTTTCTAAGGAACAAACTACAACCTTTATATGGGTTATATATAAAATTTAAGGTATTCCCTGGATACTTACATTTTGCCAATAGGCATTTGGCTGAAGAGCTGTGGGACTGAGCCATGTGAAACCAGAGTCTGACGGTTCGGCTTGTTTAGTCCACAGGCCAGTTTTGCCAGGACCTGGACCATAGGAAATATAAGAAAAAAACCAAACAAACATGTGACTGTCAACTCTAGTCAGAGATGGTTATGGAACACACACTCACATATTAAAGCTAATAGTGTCCACAATAGAAAGAAAACCAAAACCAGAAATGCAAGACATTCCACACTTAAATACCCATATTCAGTGGAAAAAATGACTCATTATAATTATCCTCATTATTCTTTCCAGATCTCCTCCACAATCTACTTTGTTTTAATCTTTTTAGCTTTTACCACCCCTATCTTTCCTTTGAGGTCCTCCAGCTTTAAGATGTTTTAAAAGCGGAAAAGCAGCAGACTAAACTCAAGTAAGATACATTTCTTTGTGTGTCCACTTATAAATATAAAAACCAGCTTATTTTACCATACACTATTTATTTACATATCTTTAATCAATGCTTAATCTATTTTTAGACCTGAACTTCAGATAGATGATCATTTAAGGAGCCCTGGTGGCATAGTGGGTTGGCAGTTCAAAGCCATAGCTGTTCCATCAGAAAGAGATGAGGCAGTCTGCTCCTGTTGATATCGCCCAACAGTAAGTAACCATGAGCTGCAAACTCCTTGGTGGCCATGGGTTTGGTTGGTTTATTATCTTAATTTAGAATCTGTGACAGAGACTGGGCTCCCTGTCATCTGCCAATAAACAGCAAACATCTTTGTCCACAGTGTGAACAAGATTTCCAAATTAAAAGAAAGGAAAGAAATCCTTTAGAACTCAAAGAAAGTAGCATTTCAGAAGTCTCATTTCACAAACTAGAACTTACAGGCAAAGTATGAAATGCATCTTTTAAATTCATTAGCAAGAGTCATTGTCTAGTAGGCAACATTTAATCTGATTTATGTGAGAATTTTTTATTTCCCTTCTCCTGCCTCACCATGAAAAGGAAACAAAACAACTCAGAAGAGAAGTATGGCAACTTACTGGGAGCAAGTCACAACCATCAATAACTAAACACATTCAACTATTGATCTGGTCAGAAGGGGGAGAAGGTCCCAGACCTTTATTGCACTTTATTCGGACTTAGTCAGAAAACCAGATGTTCTGCTCATGTCTGTATTCACAAAATCAAAATAGTAAGATTCTACCACTCCATTTTTCTCATTGCTCCCATTAAAACGAGGGAATAGAAAGTAGCACAAAACATTCAGAATATGAAATAATACTAGAATATTCATCAAGTGAAAACAAATGGGTTTATACAGTTAAATCTGCAAAAGGTGAAATATGTGAAAGGTAGAAACTCTAACGCCTTACTTTCTACTAAATTAAGTGAAAAGAAAAGCATTAAGAATACAAAAAGTAATTAAAAAAAAACCCACCTTGACTGTACAATGGTACAACCATTATGGAAGGCAGTTTAGCACTTCTTCAAAAAACTAAACACAGAAATTCCATATGACCCACTTATTCCATTGCTTGGAATATACCCCAAGAAAATGAGAACTGAGACACAAATGGAAACTTGTACACCAATGTTCACAGAAGCATTATTAACCATCACAAGAAAAACGAAACAGCCCAGATGGCTAATCACAAATGAATGGATTGAGAAGCTGTGGTACATTCATACAATGGAATACTACACAGCATGTAGGAACAATGATTTTGTAAATTACCACCTAACTTGGGAGGGACTGGAGAGCATTATGCTGAGTGAACTAACTCAGTCCCACAAGGACAAATACTATATAAAACCATTATTGTAGAATGAGTATGAGGATCCAAAGGGGAG